AACAGTCAGCACCAGCAAGACGTGTGAGCTAGACCATCTGAGATCAACCGACCTCCCTGCCAACTCTGCAGCTGCATGAACAAGTGCAGGCAAAGGCAGAGGAGAAGTGTCCTCCAAGACCAGGTAAAATTGCTGACCCACAGAATCGTGAGCCCATAAATTATTGTTGCCTTAAGCCACTAAGTTTTGAGATGAATTGTTCCTCAGCAAAAGCTGACTGACACCACGCTCCATAAATACCTGCTGAGTGAATGAGTGAAGGAATGAACGTTTAGTTTTTCCTGGAGCTCTGCCAAGACCTTTCCCCCAGATCCACATACCCCCCACGGGACCCCTGCCCCCTCACCTCTCTCATCACTGTCACAGCTTGAGGCCCCAACCTCCACAGCCTCCCAGTCCTTGGAGAAGGTGGGATGGGATGGCTTCTCCCAGGCCCTATTCTCCTGAGGCAGCAGTGTCTTGGTCCTCTCCAGCTCCAACAGCCCCCGTGTCTGCTCAGGCTTCTCACCCTGCATCTCCCTAGGAGGAGGTGGAGCTTCTAAGACAGGCTTCTTCTCCTCCTGTTCCAGGGTCTTGTCTGGTTGCCCAGGCACAAGATTCAGAACCTGAGGACTGACAGACATTGGGTCATTCAATGAAAACTTACAGAGTGCCAGCTGGGTGCCAGGCACTATGATAAGTGCCAGAAATACAGAAGTTTTCAAATTGGAGATCCCTGCCCTTATGTGGTTTACATTCTAGTGGGAAGAGAGACAGACAGGGAACAAATGATGGTAAGTGTTCTGAATAAGTGTAAAGCAGGAAAAGGAATAATGGATGTTGTGCACAGGCACACACACACACAAAACACACACACACACTCAAGCCACATCCGCAAGCATACAGCCAGGAGGTTCTAGAAAGAGAGAATAACCCTGTAGAATCCCTCTAGCTGCAGAGAGAATTTCCCACCAGGCCCTGCAGTCCCCACTTTCTCCTTAGTTGTCATAAAAAAAAGGGGGGGAAAGACGGATATCCCACGTGCAGTGAAACGTCTAATTTTAAATGAAATATTCTTTAATACTTTCATTCTGCATCTGGCCAACCTGAAATTCCTTATTTTAAATACGTGTGTGGCACTCTTCTATGATCGAGATGTAATGCTAAGCTCTCTTGGTTAATAATGACTGCAGAAACATTTAGGACTCAAGGAAGGACTGAAGCCTAGAGACCATATGTCTGTGGTTGTCATGTAGACTTAGAATATGCTTGAAAGACCAGATCCAAATGGAATCATCTTTCTCAATCTCTAATAAGATTGTGGGACACTGAGTGACTTAGGGGCCAAAGATTATAAGTGAGGGTGGTGGGAAATGGAAAAGAAAATATTGAGACTCTTGTAATCAGTAGCATTCTGAATTCTACCTCATGACTACACTATATTTCCCAAATCCTTCATGACCATTGGACAACAGCTCTCTCTACCAGTGGCCAAAAAAGTAATGCCCAATCTCTTCACAACTCAGTCCTCCTGTGTATCCAGATTTGAATTTTGTGTTTCTTCCCCTGCAAACTGCTCCAATTCTAGCTTCACTTCCTACATCTCACTCAACAAATGGACATCAATATCCACCCAGTTGTCCAAACCAGACATTTGGAATACTATGTTCTTCCTTCTCACATTTCCAATATTCAGTTGTACCATTTTTGTGACAGCCAATTAAAGCAACAGACACTGAGGATGATGACAGCAAAACTTTCATCATAGGAGCTTAAACCAAGCCAGTGCAATGCATGGTGTGATTTGTGGACATCAGCATCACCTGGGAGCTTGCTTAGATAGGCAAACAAGGAAAAGAGAGAGACAAAAATGTCCCTCAACTCTCAAATTAAACTTTACTCCTTTCTTGGCATTCTATCTCTTTTTCCCTTCAGAAAATTTTGCTTCCCTCTTGGTCTTCTGAGATTCTTTGGTCTTTGAGCTATCACACCCTCAAACTTGTTCTTAAGTCCTCCACCCATTCCAAATTGTTTGTATTTCTGCTTCACATTTTTATTGGCAAATATCTGCAACTGGCATCTCAATGTGGCAGGACTAGCCATGTTTTTTCATCACCACCATCACCATTATCACCACCACCATCATCATTATCACCATCATCACCACCACCACCAGCACCCCCATCATCACCATCATCTTCTTCATTATTAGTGAAATTTCTCCTATGTTGGATATTGATTTAAGAACATTGGTTAGCCCAGAGTAGTGCATTTTTAAAATTAAATTTTTATTTTGAGATAACTAGAGATTCACATTCATTTGTAAGAAATATTACAGAAAGATCTTTTGTACCTTTTACCCAGTTTTCTCGTTGTAACATCTTAGAAAGCTAGGACACAAGATCACAACAGGATATTAACATGGATGCAATCCACCAACCTTGTTCATATGTCCCTACGGGTGTGTGTGTGTGTGTGTGTTTAGTTCTAGGCAATTTTATCACTGATGTAGGTTCATGTTTCTGCCACCACAGTCAAGCTACAAACCAGACCATCTCCCCAAGGATACCACACATTCTCTTTTCATAACTACATCCAGCTCCCAACCCCCACGTGGTTTCTAATCTCTGCAACAATTAATCTGTTCTCCATTTCTGTAATTTTATCATTTCAAGAATGTTATATAAATAGAATAATACAATATATAACTTTCAGGGATTAGCATTTTTCACTCAGCATAATTCCCCAGGGAGTCATCCAAGAAGTTGGGTGTATCAATAATCCATTTCTTTTTATTGCCAATTACTGTTACATGATAGATAACCATGACTTGTCCAATCATCCACCCACTGAAGGACATCTAGGTTGTGTCAGTTTTTAAATATTATGAACAGAGCTGAGGTGAACATTTTTGTGCAGGTTTTTGTGTGAACATAGTTTTCACTTCCCTGAAATAAATTCCCAAGAGTGTGATTACTGGATCTTATGGTAACTGCATATTTAGTTTTACAATGAACTGCCAAACTGTTTTCCAGAGTGGATGCAACCATTTTACATTTCCGCCAGCAATGTATGAGCGATTCAGTTTCTCTGCATCCTTGCTAGCATTTGGTATTGTCCCTATGGATTTTATCGGTGTCTATGTAATCAGTCCCATTTATTATGACCAGCATATTGTTAAGGAAATAAAATAGAATAGACCAAAATAGTAATTTGAAAAATAGCAGTGTTCATTGGCAGTTGTAATGTTTTACAAAACTTCCATTTTACACACACACATATCTGAGGATACTTCAAAACTTTTGTGGAAAAATAGAATTAAAAGACAGTATGAATCTTTCCAGGAACTTATTGAAATACTCTCATATATACTCATCAAATTATGAAAAGAAAAAAAATGCTTTTTTTTAATGAACATATAAGCAGTTACTACGTGCTAAACATTCTTCTCAGTGCCTTATCAACAGTAGTTCTTGTAACCTCCACAACATCCGTAGGAGAGAGAAACTGTTTTCTCCCCACTTTACAGGTGAGGAAACTGAAGCATAGGGAACCAGCTCTGAACTTTGGCAGCTGGCTCCAGACTGGGGGCTCTTACCCTGCCAGCTGTCCAGGAGGGCTGGTTACATGACAGCAGTTGACAGGATGGGCCTCAGACTCCAGTGGACACGGGCATCAACCTCAACTCCTCCATCTCCAAACTGTGAACTTTGGACAAGCCATCCAACCTCTCTGAGTCTCAATTTCCCCTTGTGTGAGATGGCAGTGGAAAATCACATGTCATTTGGAAGGCCATTGTGAAGATTAAATATAATTACGTATGAATATATTTAAAAGATATATTAATATATTGTATATGTAAAAGAAATAATGTCTTGTGTATTATACACCATATAACATATAAATTGTATATTAAAGGTATAATATGTATTATATAAAGTGTATAGTACACATTTAAATGTACTGTAAATGTATTTTATATTATACAAACAAATCATATGTATATAATTTATATATTAACATACTATATATTAATTTATTATATGATATTACCATAATATTTTAATATATAATCTATTACATATAATACATGTTTCACATGGATATATGAGGGCACACAGTAGGTCCTCATAAAAACATTACCTATAGGTAAGAAAGCTGTGAACAAATAATTTATTTTCTGACGGAAATAACTTTTAGGAACTTCTGATGACCTCCTTCTGAGTAATTAGTAATTCCAGTAACACCAGTCAAGTATGTTCACCCCTTTTAACGCTAAAATCAACATATATTGATGGGCTGCAGTGCCATGCTGCAGCAGATTGGTACCACAGACAAGAGGAAAAACCCACTGATCCTGATTTTGTCTTTATTTAAAACTTTCATTGTTTGTTTTTTAAAATACTGCATTAAAATATGATTAATCTTGATTACTAAGTTTTTTGGTGCCCCTTGAAGGTCATTTAAAGTGCCTCGACCAGTCCTGGCATTGATAGTATGCCTACGGCTATTTCCATTAAAGCTTTCTAAATTGAAACCCATATCATTATATCTTGATTTACAATTGGCCTAGTTATTGACCTGTTTTGGTAAAATAACTCTGTTTCTTTTTCTATGACAGTGATACCTTAGGTGAAATTGTTGTAGAAAATGGACAGCAAGGAAGCAACCCAACACTCTGAGAGCTAGAGAGCCAAGAGTTTATTGTGCTAGCGGGCCAGATGGGTTCTTGCTCTGAAAATCTGGTCCCCGAACCTAGGTTTGACAAGGCTTTTTATAGGTGAACTGTTCCTGGGCTCTTTACATATTTTTTTCCTTTCTCAGCATTTTAGCCAGCATATGTGGTTTGTGCAGATAAGCTCTTGTTACAAAAGCCAAAAGAGCAAGCAGTGATTTACAGCAAACATAGTTTCAAGGACAAGTTATTACTTCAAGAACAAAGCAGACCTGTGAGAAAATTATTTCAAACTAATGCAGTGGGCAAATATAATTTCAAGGACAAACAGGTTTATAAGAAAGTTACATTTATATTTTCCAACAAAATAAGTACTTAGGACAACCAACGTCACATATTTTAACTCCTATTGAGAAAAATGGAAAAATTTGGTCCGGCGCCCCTTGCCTCAGAGCCGGTTCAGGGTAGTTTGGTAAACACTGTGTGTGGGTGGAGTGAGTGCACCCACATGGTGCCACTTTGGCTGGTGTTTTACTGCCTCAGGTGCCTGCCCTGCACGACCACATTTTTCCAGACCTGGAGCTTCCAAGGATTGTGTGGCTGGTTACTTAGCATATAGACCTACATGAAGGGGTCTGGTGACCCAGCCTGGCATGGAGGGGTCTGGCGACCCAGCCTGGCATGTGAAGGGTTTGTGACCCAGTCTGTGAATGGGCTTGAGGGGTCTGGGAGCTCCAGACCCAGCCCTAGCTCAACCATCGGCCCAGTCGGTACAGGATTACTGGCAGGTAAAAGAGCCACGGCAACTAGCGTGGTTGCCTAGCTTTACAATTGGCATCACAAACAGGCTTAAGAGCTAGACAATTGGCACTGTGAGCAGGATTCGCGACATTAACCTCACAGTTGGTTTGTCATAGGCAGACAAATTGGTGTAGTAGGCAGGATTACACCACATTTGGCGTGGCCTGTGACAGGACTCTGAGCAGGTACAGGATCTAAAAGCCCTTGGAAGAAGGAG